TGTTTTGGACTCAGCCAAAATCGCTTAGGCGGTTACAGCGCCAATTAAGAGGAAGAAGCAGATATATCTCCAGGTTTCCTTGTCACATATAAAGGTGATGAAAATAAAAGAGTACGAGTGAAATACTGTTAACAGATACCGTAAATGAACGTTGGGTAATAACTGCTATTAAGCATCTTAAATAATAAACGTTGGGAAATAACTCTTATTGGCGACGGAAAAATATTTCTCTTGCATAAAAGTTATCAGGCAACGTGAAAAGTAAACGTTGGGTTATAACTCTTATTGGCTATATAGACAATATTTCTAATCCAATAACTGTTATGGAATAACGTTTTCCCGATAAAACTTATAACTGTTATGTCCTTCATTTTAACTTCTTCTGTAGTTTCAAGAACCTGCGCTAACGCCACCGACGTTGCGACCAACAACGTCAAAGGCATCAAACGGCAGTGAGTCGCGTTGTCTAAAACCTCAAAGTGGATTTTACAGTCGACGAAAAGGCAATTTGTCTTCTGGTCTTTTCAATGTTAAAACCTGGTCACTGATAAGTTTAAAGCTGACGGTTTATGGAAAGCTAAATAGGAAAGACAGATGTGGCTGGGTGGGTACTACCACTTCATCTAGGTTAGAAAAATTTTCCTCTTACAGCGGTCGGCCCTCAGCAGGCAATGACAAACCTTCGAGTATAAATATTCCTTCCATGAAAAATATTCTCATTATTACAATCCATTTGCCGTTCGGAGTCGACGCAAAACAATGTGTGTAACAACATCCAGTCACACATTACAAATTCTATGAGAATTTCGGCCAAACACTTAGCAAAAGTATAAGCCAACTATTTATTATTATTTTTCATAGCAAAGGGCTCTGTGGGACCTTGTATGGAATATCAAGAAAACTGGTGCAAATAGCAGGATCTCCATTCATATACACTGAGATCCCATTTCTTGGGCATTTATTTATAAGAAAAAATTAAATTTAAAATGTTTACATGCGTCCTACCAGCTCTTCTCTGCCAGCTTTCAGTAGCTCTTTGTGGTTTTTAAGTTTTGTTACTGTGGCTCTCACATCCACTAACAGGGCAATTCTGGCTAAGACAGTAAATACCCAGTACGGCATAGATCAATCAGTTACCTCAGAAAAATTAATTTTTATCTAGTTCTGTAGCAACTGACTTCCAATAGATGTATAATCACCTAGTAGCCTTATTAAGAAAAACCAGATTGATACACTTTTGATACATATCTTTGCGATAGTTGAATAACCATCTAACTCTGGGCAATAAACTATTTCAGCATTATAAGACATATGTAAAAGAAACATACTGACTTTGCATTGCTTTAAGCCAAATTTATTTTAAAGTAGTTGAAATCAAATGCAAAGTCGGACAATCGACATGCTGCTTGCACACAATTCAAACTGAACATTTGAAAGCACACTTACATGTTGTGCCTCTAGCTAAGAGCGCAAAGGTGCTTTCTACAATTAGTTGCGGCCAAGAGTGTCCAGGTTCAACTCTCAGTAGGTAGAACATTTAATTTTTAATTTCGGCTTTTTTTAATTATGAAAAAGCACCTGTGAAGTGCAGAACGAAAGCGTATTCAAACGAAACATACTGACTTTGAAGTGCTTTAAGCCAAATTAATTTTAAAGCAGTTGAAATCAAACGCAGAGTCGGATAATTGGCTGATGCCTAGGGCATCGCCATGTTAAAGTCCACAGTTCGTTCCAAGGAAGAAAGTCAGATCTTCAACTAGTTGTGGTGGATAAAACACTAGTTGAACATCGATATTTAAACTAGTTCTTTCCGTACTGGGTAGTCTTTCGTAAGACAAATGAAAGATGGCAAGATAGTTCGAAAGACTTTCGTTATTCTAACACAATAGTCTTAGAAACAAAGCTCTCTCATTCACCACTCGTGGTGAAAAGCTATTTTGAGAGAAAGGACTTGTATGTGATTTAGCTCGCGTCGGTCCAACAGTCGCAATGGCCACAGTATAGACAGTAACCAACCTTTTTGGGTTGTTGTTGTAGTAATCGTTGTTGTTGTAGTTATATTCACTCCTGAGGAAGGCACGGGGTTGTGTGCTGCTATTTAATGGCCTTCCTCAGACTTTTTCTTAGATTTCAGGGTTGTGTGCTATATTATTATTAGATAAATAAATTTAAGTATTTGTCAAATCGTGATTTTATTAAAAGAAAATTATAAATGGTGTTGAAAAACCAAACAAACGCTCGTGCGAAAGCTCTATTTTTGTGTATTGTTAAAATTTATACATGGCGTACTTATTCTTTTGTGGACTTTATGTTACTTGAGAATTTAGACAACGTGCGAGCTGCCAGGTTCTGTTATCAATATAATTAACACAAGCTTTTCCGAGTGGTTGCCTTTCAATAAAAAGAATAAACAAATATTCGCAAATAAATTGGATTTATTTTATAACTGACAACTAACCTACGCTTTTTGTTCTTTTCTCCATTTTAATTTTGACTCCTTATTACCGCCAACAACTTTATGTGTATACATATTTACAAGCTGTCAAAATTTTGCGTAGTCCCACGAGCTAGGTAAAAACTATGGCATTCGTATTCACAACGAGAAATCTCAAAATTTTTGTTTGGTCTTTCCAAATTTTCTCTTTTTAATCAGTTGGCAAAGGCCCTCAGTGGCAGCGCTCCGAGCGTTGAGATAGTAATTTCATGTCAATTAGTAGAAAAGTTCCATGTTGAAAAAACTTTTTATTATGGCGAGAAAATTTTTCATTTCTGCTGTGCCAATTCGTAACTTTTTACTGCTGGAAATTTTTGACAGTTGCTCTGGTTCAGAAGAAGTTGAGCAATTAAAGTCAGAAATTATACAAAAAAGACTTGTCTTTACTGACATTTATTCTTCTAGAACTAAAAGCCATGCATTTATTAGACGCCTTAGTAATAAAATTAGAACAAAAAAATTCTTCAAAACCATCAGGCCGGGTTGAAAATTTTCATTCACCTCATAGTTAACAAAAATTTACAATCCGTAGTACTTTTCTATCAATTCTCAAATGCGTTTAATTTAAATCGTTTAGAAAATGCGTCATTTATGTATACCATTTTATGTGGAATTATTCAATAAATTTCGTTTTACACTATACTTTTTGAAACTATTTGGAGTTAATTATTTTTTTTTCCTAAAAAGCAACCCTGCGTGCTTGGAAGGCGTGTGTACCAATAATTTCATCCCTAGCATATTCATCCCCGAGGAAGGCAGTCGCCAAATTCACCGAAGGTTTACTGGTTATATTGTGCTCGAAATGCAGATTTTTTCCTTTCCTCGCAACGATGCCGTGGCGAGAAAGTGGTGGAATTCTACGGGCAAGATAAGCCATTCAATTTGGANTGGCCGAGTGAGCAGAGCATAGGCGTGCCTATGGTTCGAAACCATTGTTGCCGCGAGCGAATTTTTAAGGGAAGCGAAGCGCTTGAAAAATCGAAGTGTTTCGAAGACGATCGAAGTGAAATGTGTCTGAATTGCTGTCGGTATTACACATTTTCTTCCATACAAAGTACGTGTTTTTACACATGTGGAAGAAAATGAGCACCACCTAACAAGAAATCAAAAATCAACGCGAATTCCTAGTTCAATACGATACTAAAATTAAATGGGCTATACAAATGTATACCCGAGTTTTTTCTAGAAATTCGGGTTGAAAAGTTTGAAATTTTGATGTCAATTTTTCGAAAGTTGGCGATTGTTAATAAATCTTGTACAAGATTTGCAACTTACTGGTCTATTTGGTTGGTTGTAGTATAAACAAAATTTTTTAAAAAGTAAATTATAAATAAATAAAGAAAAACTAAATGGTCAGAAGTCATAAATAACACTGGTCTACAAGGGTTTTGCGAATAAGACGGGACCTGGTGTTTCCGAACGGATTTTTCGTGCTGAACACGAATCTGGGGTCCAAAACTTCCCATCACGTCACGTTTTCGAGAAAAAAGGGGTTGAAACCCCTAAAAACAGCGTTTTTGGCCATTTTTGAAAAATTGTAGAGCTGAACCCTGACGTGCTACAAACTTTGTATATGTCAGAAATTAAAGGCTAAATCGTGCCCTTTCGAATGAGCCCTATGCCGAATTAATCGCATGCACCCTTAGATCAGGGGGTGTATTTGTGTCTAGGAGTCCAATTTTTATATCCACCATATTCGACCCGTCATCTTAAATTTTTAAAATCTAACTGCAGATTCGTAATCAGCGACTTTTAATATAGTTAAAACCTTGGCATTATTAATTTTCTATGATCGTTTAAGATTAAATTCTTTCTGTGATCAATTTTTCCTGCACCCCTAAACACAAATACACCCCCTGCTTTAAGGGTGCACGCGATCAATTCGGCATAGGGCTCATTCGAAAGGGCACGGTTTAGCCTTTAATTTCTGATATATGCAAAATTTGTACCACGTCAGGGTTCAGCTCTATAATTTTTCGAAAATGGCCAAAAACGCTGTTTTTAGGGGTTTCAACCCCTTTTTTCTCGAAAACGTGACGTGATGGGACATTTTTGACCCCGGATTCGTGTTCAGCACGAAAAATCCGTTCAGAAACACCAGGTCCCGTCTTATTCGCAGAAAAAAAGTTGAAATTTGTAGACCAGTGTAATTAGTGTCTCTATTATACATACATTTACGTATATGTATATGTATTAATAAAAAACATGTTTTTTATTTATTATCTCCTTTTAACAAAGAAATTCAGATGTTGATTGTTACAGATACAGGGTAGAATTAGTTCTATATAACAAAACTCTTAAACTTTTAATAGTGGTTCACTTTGTGTCCACTAGTGGTCACTTTAGGTGGTCCACTTTCGCCGAAAAGTTAATTAATTAATTAAGATTAATTTTTTTCCAGTGAAGTTGTATGTTGTTTCGGTGGGGGACATTTTCTTCACAGTCGTAAAAATATCTTCAAAAAGATCTGTTAAAATTAATTCAAATTAAGTAAACTTCATACCTTTTAATACCACTCCTCTTCGAAGTGCTACAAAAGAAAACGGGTTTAAATAATAACAATTATTTAAAAATATAAAAAGAATACAAATCTTACATTTCTGCCGCTTTCAAACCGACGCGGACTTTTTTAAATTGGGGTTGTCAACCAATAATAGAGAAGCGGTAGACCGCTAGAGAAAGCAAGAAATTCTAAAAAATTAATTTTTCAACACAATGGTCACGTTCAGCGGGCGCAACAGCTCAGTAACTGTAATTCTGATCAACTGAACAGTTGCGTGCATGGTAGAAATAAAATAAAAAATTAATTTTCAACACAATGGTCACGTTCAGCGGGCGCAACAGCTCAGTAACTGTAATTCTGATCAACTGAACAGTTGCGTGCATGGTAGAAATAAAATAAAAAATTAATTTTCAACACAATGGTCACGTTCAGCGGGCGCAACAGCTCAGTAACTGTAATTCTGATCAACTGAACAGTTGCGTGCATGGTAGAAATAAAATAAAAAATTAATTTTCAACACAATGGTCACGTTCAGCGGGCGCAACAGCTCAGTAACTGTAATTCTGATCAACTGAACAATTGCGTGCATGGTAGAAATAAAATTATAGTTTAAAAAACTAAAACCTCGCTATTATAATTTCCATTCCTACTGTCACCAGGTATGTAACATGAGAATAGAAATCGCTGCATCTTTTAGGCGCATCAATATTACATAGTTACATCCCGAGCTAATAAAAGGGAGGTAATAATAATAAAAAGAAGAGTTTCACTTAATGACAGCCATGTTAGCCATTTGACTTTTGCTGAGATTATGACATTTTCTTCAAAATCAACCTACCAAATTGTAAATTATAATAAAATTTTTTCTGAAAAGAACTTCGTCGACAAAGCACAAAATAAAATTATTTTTTAAAATAATAAAAGCAAAAATGAGCTGCGCATTTCGAAGCTGCAAAAAAACAAAATACCACTGCAAGGAAGACGGTAAAAATTTTTTTAAATTTCCACGGCTTCCTTTTGTGAGACAAAAATGGCTTGAGCCCCCTGCGGCGTGAGCAAGGAAAGCCTTCTAAAATATCTGTATATATGTTCTCAACATTGATGGTGACAAGTTAACAAGACCGATTTTTTTTTTAACTTATTGTGCAATTCAAATGTGACTCTAGAGGAAAGTACTGTAAAATGATTTTTTTTCAAATCGATATTTAAATCTAAAGTTAAAAGAGAACAGAATTAAATAAGAATATAAAAAGATGAGAAAAGTAACGTCTTCATGGTTTGTTGAATTTATTAAATAAAAACTTTTAATAACGTTAACGCAACTTACGTACAAGTAGATTACTTTTTAGTTTCAGGGTAGGGTCGAGAAATACCGTACACGTAAGCACATATGCCATTATCCGTTGCATTTCGAGGTAAAATTGCATTCTTTGTGTGTACATATTTTCAATACATACATATGTATATCATGCACTGGACTTGTTTCGTTTCCAGGCAGGTTCTGCAACTCACTTCCGAGTGAATTTCAATAAAATTGAATTCAAATTGGCAGGGGCTAAAAAAACACTCGGAAAAGAATTGTAGAACCTGTTCATCTAAAAAGACTAAAATATTTACACCCATTTATTGTGAAAGAAAGTTCCATCTCGAAATTCCTTAATTTGTTTGTAAATATAAACAATATGGTAACGCTGCTAGCAACATGAACAAATTATGAAGCTTCAAAAATCTCAGTATCCGTCAAAAAGTTATTTATTGAAACTACCTTCTTTTTATACCCGAGCGTACTTTTGCACAAGGGTATTATAACTTTGTTCACATAACGGTTGTTTGTAACAGGCAAAACGAATCGAGATAGATATAGACAAATGTATACATAAATGATCAGAATGAAAAGACTAAAAAGTAGAAAATAATATTTCTCAGTCCCATAGAATTTG